TGGAAATGTAGAAATTTATTCTGGTGAAGGAAAGAAATTACAAGAAACTATTCATCCGTTTTGGAACCCTATCTTGATCAAAATTACCATGTCTATCAAGACAATTATTATAACAGTGTGCAACTGCAGAACACCTACTTTCGAGAAAAGTACATGTTTGTGGAACAGTTAGGGTGAACAGAGGCTTTCCTCCAGATCTGAAAGAGGAATGTAAATCCCTGAAACATGGTGAAACCACATTCAGGAGGAAGGGGGATATTCTTCTTCAGTCCTGGAGGGATACTTGTGTTGTGAATATGATTTCCACAATTCACAATTCGAGCATGGTTGATGTTCAAAGGAGACATGGACAGGTAAAGAAGCCTGTTTGTATTTCCAAGTATAATATGTTCATGAAGGGAGTTGATAGAGCCGATCAGTACTTGGCCTATTATTCTCTTCCTCGGAAAATAGTAAAGTGGACAAAGAAAGTTGCCTTGTGGCTAATAAATTGTGCCATTTTCAATTCATTTTTGGTTTTCAAAATCTAAACCCTCATTCAGAATTGAAATACAAGGCATTTCTGATGAATGTGGCAAAAGCCTGGGCTACAGACCAGATGGTGGTGGCAGAACCAGAGTCAGACACAGACTTAGTGCGACTGGGCCCATCAACTCCCACCCCAGGCAGGCCTCATGTGGACCCCCCTGGGCGACTCTCAGGTGATATGCGGAAACATACCCATGTGAAAATTGTGAAGAGTGAACATGCCAAGGGGAAGCAGCCTTCTAGACGATGCCGTGTTTGCACAGTACACAACAAAAGGAGTATGACTGTCTACATGTGCAAGTTCTGTGTAATGCGACTTCACAAAGGGGAATGTTTCCAGAAATATCACACTCTCAAGCACTTCTAGGAGTATTCGTAAGTGTTCTCCAAAAATTTTAGTTCATAAAATTAATTAGGAGATTTTATATTAAATTTAAAGTGAACAGTGCACAAGTTAGGGTAGTAGGTTTAAAAATGCTGGTCCCCAGGGTGATTTAAATATTTAAATCGCCAATCCACAAAGTGTTAACAAACACGGGAATATGTGTCTGCCTCAAACAATTCGTTTGTAACATTTGTAACCATTTCTAGACATTGACCAGTGATGGATCTTATCGTCTCCAGCTTTCAGGCAGCACATCACAGTATCGTTGCTTCCTCTATAAGGCTGCTTGCCCCAAGTAGTCTACAGGCTAACTGCCATTTCTTTTCTGGCTGGTGCAGGCAGAACTTCCAAGAGTGGCTGGCAGTTCTACATCACTGGCACTCAGCTTTTGGTAGTCTCTTCTTGCTTGGGCAGTGGCTGGCTCCTCCACAGTATCTTGATACTCATTTTTGGAATCCTGATGGAAGACCTGGCTGATAGCCTGATGACCTCTCGCACAGTGGTCTATTATAGGATCTCATTGACATTTCCCTTGTTTCTCTGATGTCAGATATTGGAGTGGACTGGATTGACTAATGAGACTGAACTGCTAGACATAGTGAATTGTGACTGCCTTTTCAGTGTGTTCTGGCATCCCACAGCCAGTCATTAGTCCCCTTATCAGGCTTCCGGGTTCTGGTTGCCTCTACTATGGCTTCTATGTTAGGAAGTTCCTGATGTGCCACTGTGGCCTCTATTTCTTGTGGATTCATCTCCAAATCTGTGACCTTCCCTCCTCCTAGGCCAGCATTACTTTCGGCTTCCCTTGGTTCCTGGCTGGTCTCTATCCTGGCCTCTGTCTTTCCCAGACAGCCCTCTATCACTTCTCAGCAGTCCTCCTCCGTTTTAGTTAGGCATGCATCTGGGTGATGAAGGCATCTATTCGGGTTTTCATTTCTTCTTGACTGGTCTGCATATTTTCTCATATGACCTCAGACTTCGTCCTATTGACCTCTATCTTGGCTTCCATCCTCTCTTGGTTTGTTTTCATATCAGTTTTCATTTCACCTATGACAGCCACAGACATCCAAAATCTGCTGCAATTATCTGTCTTGTGGGTTCAAATCTGATGGTGCACAATTCACTGTGTCTAACAGTACAGTATCATCAGTCAATCCAGTCCACCCCAACATCTGACATCAACTCACATGTTTAGTGTGACTAGAGATGAGGTTCCAACAGTGGACATTCCCTTTCCTCTAGGTTCTCGAACTGTCCCTCGCCTCAACTACTAGCTTCTCATGTCTATCAACTGACTCAACCCACTCAACTGAACTATTAATCCTTGTTATATAGCCACGACATGGACTGCACAGTAAACATCTCTTCCCTTATTGTGTGTTCTCTCATTGTTGGGAAAACAGCAAGTCCACAGAGCTCTTCCCTAGCAATGGCTCTTAAACTGTCGCCAGTTTACATAGCTGTTACTTGGCAGCGGATCTCCACGTCACAGTATTTTGTTTTGGGGGTGATACCTGATGCTGTGTTGTCTCATTTACTATAAAGTAAATTCTGATACTCAGCGCTGGAAATGTTTTGTAGATGTGGATAGTTGCCACCTACTTGGTTACAGACTACTTTTCTAATGAAGCTATTTGTAGTGACTGTAGATTTCATGACTGTCATTCACGGCAGTGGTAAGTGCAGGAATGAATTCCCGAACATTCATTTTAATAATTTCCCTTATAACATTCATTTGTTATTCCGTGAGCTATTCTGCTAATCTAGAGGATATTCCTAATTCTGAAGAGCCATTTCAACCTTACTCACACTGCCTAGGTGTGGCCAAGTTAGATACCTGTTAGCATTCAAAGTGATTGAGACACTGAATAATAATGTCTACAAGAACAGTGACTTTCCATTGCTTTTTTATAGGCGTACCACATGTGTGGATGTGATGATGTGCGGCTTTTCTGTAATGGCTACTATGCTGAAGTACTTGTTATGGACCCATTCAGCCTTGAGATTGTGTTTACTCTGGCATCACGAGTTAATCCTGATTGGATCAGTGCTCTCCATGTACTACGGCCAGCAAAGAGGAAAGGTCAGACTATGTGCATATCTGTATAAAAAGTAGTCTTGCATTTAAAACCCAAGATGAATTCAGTTGGGCACATAGTTGGAGTTGGAGTACCTCACTCAGTATAGTTACAGGCTACTGGCTGGAAGGCCAGGCTTCAATTCCTGGCAGGGGAAAGATTTTTCTCTTCTCAATATCATGCAGACCAGCTCTGAGGTCCACCCAGTCTCCTATCCAGTCGGTGCCAGGGGGAAATTTCTCTGGGAGTAAAGTGTCTGGGGTGTGAGGTTGACCACTCATCTCCATCTAGTGTTGAGGTCAAGAATGATGGAGCTGTAACTGCACTCCATCATATATCTTTATGGCATAGTGTTTAATTAATTAAGCATGGTAACTTTGCCACATCGAAAAATCTTACTGTCAAAAATAGAATGTTCCCACATCGTAAGATCCATAAATTTACTTGGACATCTCCTGATGGGAAGATACACAATCAAATAGACCATATTTTGATAGATAGGAGACGGCACTCAAGTATACTTGATCTCCGATCATGCAGGGCAGCAGATTGTGATACTGACCACTGTCTAGTGGTAGCAAGGGTTAGGGAAAGACTGGCAGTGAGCAAACAAACAACACACAGAGTTCATACGGAGAGGTTCAATCTCAAGAAAGTAAATGAGGTAGAGGGTAAAATGCAGTATTGTGTTGATATCTCAAATAGGTTCGCGGCTTTGGAAAAGGTTGGACACTGAGGTAGATGTTAATAAAGTTTGGAAACTATTAGAGAGAATATAAAAATGTCTGCCAAAGAGAGTCTAGGTTATTATGAACCAAAGAAGCATAAGCCATGGTTCGATGAAAGATGCTCAAAATTATTAGATCAAAGAAAGCAGGCCAAATTGCA